ATGACATTACTATAAACTTGAGCTACATGTAAACAAATATTTAAGAGTAATATTTCTATTGTGTAATAAATAATACCATTTTAAAAATGAAAGATTTTTTTCCATCAATTGAATAATTTGATATGTTTTTAGGGATACAGCAAGTTCCCAAGTTCTTAGTTAATGAACAGAGAAAATTGATGAGGAGCTCATTGGGGAAAAAAAAGAAATTAACAAAGGAAATGTACTTTTTCAATAAGGAGAAGAAGTAAAAGCAGCAGGTATTATATACTTATTTTATACTTGATTAACTTGGCTGTAACAGTCAAACGATTGAGATAAATAAATGAAAAGAAATGTTGTCTATATTTCAATGAATTAGCACCCGAACAAACAACAAAACCAGTAGAGGCATCTTTTGGTTAAAACAAAAGACTTCAATATACATTGTAAGTGTCAATACAAATGTAAAATAAATAGGATGTGGTAAGATTGCCAATGAGACACTCTCTCCAAGAGACCAAATGATACAGACATTAACAACTATAGGTCACTGTATGGCCTTCAACAATGAGTAAAACCTATAATGCATAGACAGCTATAAAAGGCTACTAAATGACAAATGTAAAACAATTCAAATTTGATTGTCTCTGCTCGTGAATATTATGTACCGGGTACATGTATCCGAGATTACCAAAGAATGGTCTTAGGCAGATATCCTGAAATGACTAAAAGGTTAAAGATATAAATAAAAGCTATATATATTAGCTTGTCCATGCAGCCTCATTATCTAAGCAGACCAAGAGAACTTGTATTATTGTTTTTGTCCCGTCAATCTGACCGTCACAAAATTTTCTTCAGTATTACTGTAAACTTTGTATCAGGCATGCATTGAGTTTTGTCATTCTTCAGTGTTACTGTAAACTTTGTATTGAGTTTTGTCATTGTTCATATATATTTAAATATATAAATGTCTAAGCAGTTTCTTATTTCATTGGGTATGGTAATATATCTTGGATTCAACCTTCAAAACTTCAATTTTCATCCTCATTTGCTTTTTCATCACTTCTTCCTTCAAATCCCATAAATGTAGTTTTTACTGTCGAGCCTGCGACTTTAGTCGCTGAAAGCTCGACATAGGGATAGTGATCCGGCTGTGGCGGCAGCAGCGTTAACTAACTTCTTAAAAGCTTTATATTTTAGAAGGTGGAAGACCTGGTTGCTTCATAAATTGTATATAGATGCCTTATGTTACGATGTTTCCGTCTGTCACATGTCCATTGTCCTTGACCTCATTTTCATGGTTCAGTGACTACTTGAAAAAAATGTTAAGATTTTTTGTAATGTTAATTTCTCTCTTATTATGAGTATTGGATAACTATATTTGGTATGTGCGTACCTTGCAAGGTCCTCATGTCCCTCAGACAGTTTTCACTTGACCTCGACCCCATTTCATGGATCAGTGAACAAGGTTAAGTTTTGGTGGTCAAGTCCATATCTCAGATACTATAAGCAATAAGTCTACTATATTTGGTGTATGGAATGATTGTAAGGTGTACATGTCCAACTGGCAGGTGTCATCTGACCTTGACCTCATTTTCATGGTTCAGTGGTCAAAGTTAAATTTTTGAGTTTTGGTCTTTTTTTCTAATACTATATGCAATAGGTCAACTATATTTGGTGTGTGGAAATATTTTATTATGTACATATCAGTCTCGCAGGTTTTATTTGACCTTGACCTCATTTTCACAGTTCATTGTTCAGTGTTAAGTTTTTGTGTTTCGGTCTGTTCTTTAACTATAAGCAATAGGTCAACTATATTTGTTGTATGGAAGGATTGTAAGCTGTACATATCTGCCTGGCATGGTTCATCTGACCATGACCTCATTTTCATGGTTCATTGGTCAATGTTTAGTTTTCTTGGTTAAGTCTGTTTTTTAGAAACTGTTAGCAATAACTATATTTAGTGTATTGAATGATTGTAAGGTGTAAAAATATACATACTACAAGTATTTCTCGTTTGGTTTATATGACCTTGACCTCATTTTCTTGGATCATGTTGAGTTTATGTGATAGTTGTAGTTCAGCTTTATATTTAGGACTATCAACATAATATCAATGGTTAGTAAAGAAGGCGAGACATTTCAGGGTGTGCACTCTTGTTTTTATAATATACATGATATATTTATACAGTCACAAATTTAAGTTAATGGATCTTTATGACACCACAAGGTTCCATACCTCAAAAGGAATGTTGGATTGATTTTGGGGGTTATGGCCTTAACCATGTTAACAGTTTAGGCATTAGGGGCCAAAAATAACACTTTGTTTATTCTTTGTACATGTATAAACTGTTTTTTTCTTGACCAATTTCAATTGTGTTTAATTCAAAGTCTTTATTTTATTTTTTCAAACCTTGTTACTTGTATATAGATTTGGCCTCCTTTTTAAAATAGGTCCACATTGAGGTCCCTAGGGTACAAATTTAAACTTTGTCGTTTGAAGACATATAAAATTTAATAATTTATTGGTTCTATTATATGAGATATCTAACTGTTAAGTTAAAATTTTAATTTAGGGCCCTGTTTTTAAATTGGTCCCCATTAAGAAGCAAAGGGTCCAAAAGTAAACTTTGTTTGATTTCAACAAAAATTGAATTTTTGGGGTTCTTTGATATGCTGAATCTAATCGTTCAGTTAGATTTCTGATTTTGGGCCCCATTTTCAAATTGGTCTATATACCTCTGTGGTCAGTCATATCAAGCTGAGCCTTGCATTTTATTTTCAAATTGGTTAACTTATACTCATGTTAGAATTAAAAAATTTTGTATGTATAAAATCGAGAATGGAAATGGGGAATGTGTCAAAGAGACAACAACCCGACCATAGAGCAGACAACAGCCACCAATGGGTCTTCAATGCAGCGGGAAACTCCTGCACCCGGAGGCGTCCTTCAGCTGGCCCCTAAACAAATATGTATACTAGTTCAGTGATAATGGACGTCATACTAAACTCCAATTTATACACAAGAAACTAAATTAAAAATGATACAAGACTAACAAAGGCCAGAGGCTCCTGACTTGGGACAGGTGCAAAATTTATGCATACTCAATTTAATATAATATTATTATCCTATTGTATACAGAAGTAAAACTTGTGTCTGATCCTATTTAAGTCAATTGTTCGAATAAAATAATCATAAACTAAAACATTCATATGATGTAGTTTTGCATCTTCTATTTAGAGCATGTTCAGTACCAGTAGAATTCAACGACAAAATTAATAAGCTATTATTATAATTTCTTTGTTCTTACTACTTTTCTTATGTTTGCAGGGAAAATTGACAGAGTGATACATCTTCTATGAATAAAAAGAGGAAATAAGTGTCTGCAGCAGTAAATCATTATAACAACAAGACTGTGAAAAGAAGATATTAGAACATGAAATGAGTTTTATTTCTTTTAAAAAGAATTGTTACGGAATATACCTCTTGTGATTCTAATGAAAACCATTGTCAACTTGAAGTAAAGGAAGATTTTATAATTTAATAGAACAGGAAATAAAGGAAGACTCAATCATTTAGAGCATAACAAAGCACAATGTATATTTCTAATTAGTCTGTTAATTCAGAATAACCCATGTGAAGGAATTATAGTTTACAGTAAACAACATACAATACACTTACAATTTCATGTTTTGCAATTGGTGAATTTTTATGTTGTACTCAGGTAAAATTTATATGACAGATGCATTACCTTAAATATTCACTGAACACATGAAAATCCAACATAGCCATTGCAAAAATAACTTGCACTTACATGTACATATGTTATTCATGTGATATTAATATGAAATTCACATCACGATCATGTGAAAATATAGACGTGAAATAACACCACTTTTACACTTTAAAATAATGTGAAAAAATCTAAATGTGAAATTAACACAATATTTACACGTTAAAATCACGTTTAAAAATTTACGTGTGAAATTAACACAATATTTACACGTTAATATCACGTTAAAAAATTTACATGTGAAAATAACGTTACGTTTAAACGTGAATATCACGTGAGCAGATTAAAACGTGATTATCACGTGAGAATCTTGTGTGTGTCAAATACAGGTGATATAAACGTTTAAACGGTGTGATACACACGTGGAAATAACGTAGTTTTCACGTAATGAGCACAAACGTTAAACACACGTTGGAAAAAATTGCCTGTGTAGAGTGTGAATATCATCACGCTGTTTCCAAGGCAACAAAAATCCATGAAACTGTTTCTTTCGCCAAATACAAAAAGTTACCGACTGAAGTCCTCAAAATCGCTCAGAACTGCAAACTTCGTAATGAGAAATACGAGCTGTTCTGTAAAAAACACGATTGTCCATGCTGTAAAAAATGTTTAAAATCTCACAGTGATTGTAAAGGTTTAACCGACATTAATGAAATAATAAAAAACGTAAAAACCTCAAACGCCTTACATGAAATCAAAGAAACCCTGCTGGAAGTCGTCGAAAATATCAAACGACTCAGCACTAACAGGAAAGAAAACTCAGCATCCCTAGAAAACAAGAAAAGAGAAATTGAAGCAGAAATAAAACAAACCAGGGTAAATGTTAATCACCACCGAAATAAACTTCAGGATGACTTGATTAAAGAATTAATGAAAGTTGAACAAAAAGAAAAAAACAAAATAGAAAAACTGTTGACTACTCTGAAAAAGAAGGAAATAGAGATCATGGAATTACAAGAAAATATTGCTAGTATTAAACAGCATGCGTCCAAACTTCAAACATTTTTAACCATGAAAGATATCGAAAAAGATATTGCAGTCGAAGAAAAATTCATTCAATCGATTACCACAAGTGACTGCACAAATCAAGTCAATATTTCATGTCAGATTAACAAGTCTTTACAGCTAATCACAGCCAGCGTGCAGAAGTTTGCAGAATTAATGTCAGTTCTGATCCATGTTTTTTCCATTCAGAAACGGAAGGACAGACAAGCTCAAATTATGGTACACAGGCAATTTTTTCCAACGTGTGTTTAACGTTTGTGCTCATTACGTGAAAACTACGTTATTTCCACGTGTGTATCACACCGTTTAAACGTTTATATCACCTGTATTTGACACACACAAGATTCTCACGTGATAATCACGTTTTAATCTGCTCACGTGATATTCACGTTTAAACGTAACGTTATTTTCACATGTAAATTTTTTAACGTGATATTAACGTGTAAATATTGTGTTAATTTCACACGTAAATTTTTAAACGTGATTTTAACGTGTAAATATTGTGTTAATTTCACATTTAGATTTTTTCACATTATTTTAAAGTGTAAAAGTGGTGTTATTTCACGTCTATATTTTCACATGATCGTGATGTGAATTTCATATTAATATCACATGAATAACATATGTACATGTAAGTGCAAGTTATTTTTGCAATGGCTATGTTGGATTTTCATGTGTTCAGTGAATATTTAAGGTAATGCATCTGTCATATAAATTTTACCTGAGTACAACATAAAAATTCACCAATTGCAAAACATGAAATTGTAAGTGTATTGTATGTTGTTTACTGTAAACTATAATTCCTTCACATGGGTTATTCTGAATTAACAGACTAATTAGAAATATACATTGTGCTTTGTTATGCTCTAAATGATTGAGTCTTCCTTTATTTCCTGTTCTATTAAATTATAAAATCTTCCTTTACTTCAAGTTGACAATGGTTTTCATTAGAATCACAAGAGGTATATTCCGTAACAATTCTTTTTAAAAGAAATAAAACTCATTTCATGTTCTAATATCTTCTTTTCACAGTCTTGTTGTTATAATGATTTACTGCTGCAGACACTTATTTCCTCTTTTTATTCATAGAAGATGTATCACTCTGTCAATTTTCCCTGCAAACATAAGAAAAGTAGTAAGAACAAAGAAATTATAATAATAGCTTATTAATTTTGTCGTTGAATTCTACTGGTACTGAACATGCTCTAAATAGAAGATGCAAAACTACATCATATGAATGTTTTAGTTTATGATTATTTTATTCGAACAATTGACTTAAATAGGATCAGACACAAGTTTTACTTCTGTATACAATAGGATAATAATATTATATTAAATTGAGTATGCATAAATTTTGCACCTGTCCCAAGTCAGGAGCCTCTGGCCTTTGTTAGTCTTGTATCATTTTTAATTTAGTTTCTTGTGTATAAATTGGAGTTTAGTATGACGTCCATTATCACTGAACTAGTATACATATTTGTTTAGGGGCCAGCTGAAGGACGCCTCCGGGTGCAGGAGTTTCCCGCTGCATTGAAGACCCATTGGTGGCTGTTGTCTGCTCTATGGTCGGGTTGTTGTCTCTTTGACACATTCCCCATTTCCATTCTCGATTTTATACATACAAAATTTTTTAATTCTAACATGAGTATAAGTTAACCAATTTGAAAATAAAATGCAAGGCTCAGCTTGATATGACTGACCACAGAGGTATATAGACCAATTTGAAAATGGGGCCCAAAATCAGAAATCTAACTGAACGATTAGATTCAGCATATCAAAGAACCCCAAAAATTCAATTTTTGTTGAAATCAAACAAAGTTTACTTTTGGACCCTTTGCTTCTTAATGGGGACCAATTTAAAAACAGGGCCCTAAATTAAAATTTTAACTTAACAGTTAGATATCTCATATAATAGAACCAATAAATTATTAAATTTTATATGTCTTCAAACGACAAAGTTTAAATTTGTACCCTAGGGACCTCAATGTGGACCTATTTTAAAAAGGAGGCCAAATCTATATACAAGTAACAAGGTTTGAAAAAATAAAATAAAGACTTTGAATTAAACACAATTGAAATTGGTCAAGAAAAAAACAGTTTATACATGTACAAAGAATAAACAAAGTGTTATTTTTGGCCCCTAATGCCTAAACTGTTAACATGGTTAAGGCCATAACCCCCAAAATCAATCCAACATTCCTTTTGAGGTATGGAACCTTGTGGTGTCATAAAGATCCATTAACTTAAATTTGTGACTGTATAAATATATCATGTATATTATAAAAACAAGAGTGCACACCCTGAAATGTCTCGCCTTCTTTACTAACCATTGATATTATGTTGATAGTCCTAAATATAAAGCTGAACTACAACTATCACATAAACTCAACATGATCCAAGAAAATGAGGTCAAGGTCATATAAACCAAACGAGAAATACTTGTAGTATGTATATTTTTACACCTTACAATCATTCAATACACTAAATATAGTTAACCTATTGCTAACAGTTTCTAAAAAACAGACTTAACCAAGAAAACTAAACATTGACCAATGAACCATGAAAATGAGGTCATGGTCAGATGAACCATGCCAGGCAGATATGTACAGCTTACAATCCTTCCATACAACAAATATAGTTGACCTATTGCTTATAGTTAAAGAACAGACCGAAACACAAAAACTTAACACTGAACAATGAACTGTGAAAATGAGGTCAAGGTCAAATAAAACCTGCGAGACTGATATGTACATAATAAAATATTTCCACACACCAAATATAGTTGACCTATTGCATATAGTATTAGAAAAAAAGACCAAAACTCAAAAATTTAACTTTGACCACTGAACCATGAAAATGAGGTCAAGGTCAGATGACACCTGCCAGTTGGACATGTACACCTTACAATCATTCCATACACCAAATATAGTAGACTTATTGCTTATAGTATCTGAGATATGGACTTGACCACCAAAACTTAACCTTGTTCACTGATCCATGAAATGGGGTCGAGGTCAAGTGAAAACTGTCTGAGGGACATGAGGACCTTGCAAGGTACGCACATACCAAATATAGTTATCCAATACTCATAATAAGAGAGAAATTAACATTACAAAAAATCTTAACATTTTTTTCAAGTAGTCACTGAACCATGAAAATGAGGTCAAGGACAATGGACATGTGACAGACGGAAACATCGTAACATAAGGCATCTATATACAATTTATGAAGCAACCAGGTCTTCCACCTTCTAAAATATAAAGCTTTTAAGAAGTTAGTTAACGCTGCTGCCGCCACAGCCGGATCACTATCCCTATGTCGAGCTTTCAGCGACTAAAGTCGCAGGCTCGACAGTAAAAACTACATTTATGGGATTTGAAGGAAGAAGTGATGAAAAAGCAAATGAGGATGAAAATTGAAGTTTTGAAGGTTGAATCCAAGATATATTACCATACCCAATGAAATAAGAAACTGCTTAGACATTTATATATTTAAATATATATGAACAATGACAAAACTCAATACAAAGTTTACAGTAACACTGAAGAATGACAAAACTCAATGCATGCCTGATACAAAGTTTACAGTAATACTGAAGAAAATTTTGTGACGGTCAGATTGACGGGACAAAAACAATAATACAAGTTCTCTTGGTCTGCTTAGATAATGAGGCTGCATGGACAAGCTAATATATATAGCTTTTATTTATATCTTTAACCTTTTAGTCATTTCAGGATATCTGCCTAAGACCATTCTTTGGTAATCTCGGATACATGTACCCGGTACATAATATTCACGAGCAGAGACAATCAAATTTGAATTGTTTTACATTTGTCATTTAGTAGCCTTTTATAGCTGTCTATGCATTATAGGTTTTACTCATTGTTGAAGGCCATACAGTGACCTATAGTTGTTAATGTCTGTATCATTTGGTCTCTTGGAGAGAGTGTCTCATTGGCAATCTTACCACATCCTATTTATTTTACATTTGTATTGACACTTACAATGTATATTGAAGTCTTTTGTTTTAACCAAAAGATGCCTCTACTGGTTTTGTTGTTTGTTCGGGTGCTAATTCATTGAAATATAGACAACATTTCTTTTCATTTATTTATCTCAATCGTTTGACTGTTACAGCCAAGTTAATCAAGTATAAAATAAGTATATAATACCTGCTGCTTTTACTTCTTCTCCTTATTGAAAAAGTACATTTCCTTTGTTAATTTCTTTTTTTTCCCCAATGAGCTCCTCATCAATTTTCTCTGTTCATTAACTAAGAACTTGGGAACTTGCTGTATCCCTAAAAACATATCAAATTATTCAATTGATGGAAAAAAATCTTTCATTTTTAAAATGGTATTATTTATTACACAATAGAAATATTACTCTTAAATATTTGTTTACATGTAGCTCAAGTTTATAGTAATGTCATAAATGTGTAAGCTAAACATAAAATAAAAGACAGCTGTTCAAAGCTGACTGACATGATATCATCAATTAGATTTAACCCCCTGAAGTACAAATTAAGGAGAAATTACAACTGAAAATATCGTTTAACAAGAGAAGAGAATTATCCTGTCATCAAGACAAAGATTGAAGAATCCAATTAAATCCCACATCCCCACTTTTTCACCCCAATATGAAAAATCCCTTTTTTTTAACCTCGATATCCCACAACCCAAAAGCGTGTCATTCCCCTAATGTTCACCTGTACTAATATCAGAGACAGATTTAATGCGCAGCCCCACCCCCCTTTTGTGGGCTTAACCTTAGGCAGTCAATGCCCCCTTTTGTTGGCTTAACCTTAGGCAGTCAATGCCCCCCCTTAATTGTGGGATTTACCTTAGACAATCAATGCCATCCCCCACCCCCTTTTATTAAAATTTATGTCATTTATGGATCCACCACTGAATATGGAAAAAGAGTTCATAAATCGGTTTGACTTGTGTCTTATCGAATTTGTGTTAAGGTTATTTAAATAAAATATATGTTTTAACTAAACTTTAGTGTAGCCGTAGGGTAAAAAAAAATCAGAAAAAAAAACTGTATCGAACTTACCTGCACTGCATATTTTTAAAGTCACAAGTACACAGTACAGTAGACCCGAGACAGAACTTTTTTTTTACTTCTACAGTTCCGTCATTGTACAGTACACAGACTCTCAGTCTGTCAGTTTCATATGGACTGTTATCACATTGACAAGGAGATTGCTTGCCAAAAATAACCGCGGGAAATACCGCACACCTTGAAAAATTTCGGAATCGGTGTGTAACCCAGAAGCGGAATCAATTTATTAACATTGTTTTGTTATCCAGCTGGTAGCTTGATATAATTTAAATATTTAATTTAATTAATTATTTGAATATTTAAACATGAAATACAATCGGTAAATTCAGTTTAAATGAGAACTGATGTGCTTCGTCTCTCAGAGAATTATCCCGTACGGTTCACAGAAACGAGCGTCTCAGACGACACATTTGGACGACACCAATTTTGACACCACACAGTAGTGGCAATGGAAAGTAATGCAGATACTCTTGAAGATATAACAGGTATATTTTATTTAACAACCCCGTTATGAAGGTATGTGTACAATAGTTAATTAAAACGTACCATTCCCTGAACAAATACAGTCTTCATGAAACACTTGACTGCCTGAAAATTGGAAAAACCCGTCATAAACTTTTAAATTCCTTTAAATTTAAATCATTTAGGGCCTATGGTTTGTGACTTGTGAGTCCTTTTTCATTAAAATTTTACTGTCCTGACAACATTTATACATGCCTGGGCCATATGATTTTTATGAGTTAATATATATTTTAATAATAATTTAATCTCTGTAAAAAATAAATATCTTTTTTTAAGTTTTAAACTGAATTTTACTGTGCGTATTGCTGTGTGTTTCTTTATTCTAAATTGGCTAGAGGTATAGGGGGAGGGGTGAGATCTCACAAAACATGTTTAACCCCACCGCATTTTTTTGCCTCTCCGAAGTCAGGAGCCTCTTACCTTTGTTAGTCTTGTATGTTTTTAAATTTTAGTTCATTTATATGTTTTGGAGTTAAGTGTGACGTTTATTTTCACTGAATTACTCAATTAGTACACATTATTATGGAGGGGCCAGCTGAGGCCCACCTCGGGTGCGGGATTTTCTGGCTTCGTTAAAGACCCATTGAAGGCCTTCGGCTGTTATCTGCTCTTTGTTGGGTTGTTGTCTCTTTGACATATTCCCTATTTCCATTCTCAATTTTACTCAGACTGACTCAGAGACATCATATATAATGTCTCTGATTTACTTCACCAGTATGAAAGAGAACTAAAGTTCATATTTATAGATAAATTATTTTATATTTATATATCTATTCAAAATAAAATTATGAAAAGAAAAGTAGAGATTATTGGGATTTTTTTAATGTCAGAATATCATGGATAAAGCCAGAGGATTCTGAATATCTGGCAAAAACTCAAAAACATGAGGAACGAACATCCTTAGACATAAAAATATATGTGGGTTTTGATTTTTACAAGACTTCAATAAATAAATAGGGGCTTTTTAACATTCAGCTGCAGGTACTGAGGACCTACATGTATTGATCACTTACACTTATTTTTCTGGAGTGGTATATAAACTACACATCACTCACATGTCTCATAGACATACACCACATAACTCATTTTATTTCACCAGTTAAATATATGTCAAGATTGTTCATGATCATAGAATGACACTTGAGTTAATTATCAGGCAATTACCTTTCATTGTTCCACTTATTAATATTTACCACACAATTTTGGTAGTTCACTGTAATTTTTCCAATTTAAAGTTTGACAGACTATGACAATAACTGTATGTGTAAAAAAAATACTTAAAATTTATGCATTTCTTTTTTCTATATGACAGATAATAAGCAGGGCATGAACGAAGTATGGAGGATCTGTTTGAAAATTCCAGACATGAGAAAGAAAATGACAGGGAGAGATGTCCAGTTCAACGTTACCAGGACAATTCAGCAAAGTTCCAACAGATATGTATGCACTATTTCCATTCTATGAAATGTAATGCATTTAATAAAACAGTGTGCTTTAAAAAGAACAACATGCCTTTTGGCTTGCAACATATGTGCAGAGGAAGAATAGATTTAATTTGTTGTACATTAATGCTACATATGATATTTAAGTAACTTTGCAGAACAAAATGTTCTGAATGTTAGCATTAAATATTTGCCACTGGACAACTGAAGGACGTTATGTAATGCATACAAAAATTGATAAGTCAAATGTAAAAGGTGATAAGAATCGAATAATCATTTAAATGTGTAACTAAAAAAACTAACTATATATACGGTACATATACAAATGTACCTAAGAAGTGACTAAACAACATGAAATAGATATATCTTGGAGCTATTCAGGAATTATCTAACAGGGTCTTTTTTTACACCAACCACCCGTAATATAAAAATTTATTTTACTTAATGAAGTATCTTTCTAAAGAAATTCTAAGGAAATTACAACCACCCCAATATAATATGACTACTTGGCATGACATCAGATGCAACTCATTCATTTGTCATTGTTACCTTTAAAAAAATAAAAATAAAAAATGACTTATAAAATCATGTCTGATTCTACAACATTTCATTTTATACTTTAAACAAATTTGATATGAATTTGGAGGGCTTGTAATCGTGCAGTCCAATCGCAGCTGTTTATTAAATTTTTAACACACTGTGTGGTACAATTAGATTGCATAATTGGAATCATTATACCAAAAAAACTACTGTTAATGCTAATAATAAAAAAAAACAAAACTAATGGACATTTATTGATTCATTGATGTCTTTATTTTCTCATAATTGAGATATTGAATGATTGATGTTTAGCGCCACTTTTAACACTATGGTGCTATTTTGTGGCATCCAGTTTTTATTGATGGAGGAAGCTGGAGAGAACCATGACCTTTGGTAGGAAAACTGACAATCCTAGTCCATTAAGATTGGAGTTAAGTTCACTTGCCACGTGCAGGATTTGAACTCACAACCTTAGTGTTGACTGGCTGCTGGCTGGTGATACAGAAGTTCGACTACTTAGAATACTCGTCCAAGTTGGCCCCATATAATCGAGATATAATAAATATATATATAAAAAATTAATTAAATATCACACAACAAAAGGAATGTAAAATAAAGAAAGAAATAAAGAAAGATTTATACATACACACAAAGAAATATTTAAGTCACTCAGCATAAAATCCCTATGCAATGATGTTAATCTTTAATGATAACATGTTACATGTATATACTGTTCATATTATTAACATTACTAAAGATGATTATGTGCCATTTGTTTGTCAGTCAGTAGAAGGAGGCATAATATGTGGACTAAAGTTCATGTTCATGTACATTTATTTGAATATTTATTTTTCCAGAAAAAATCTGAATTTGTGGCAAATATATAAGATGGATAAAGTACATGATACTTTAGCAGTGCTTCAGAGAATCACATTTGGCTACAGAAGTTTGTAGTATTTTGGTTGTAATCAAGTTATTAAGCTGAAGGTAATTTAATAGTAAAACAAGAAATGTTTCCTATTCAAGTATACTAAAATAAAATTTGATGTTTAGGTCAGAATATGATAAAGTTCTTTTTTTTTTGTCTCCCTTTCGATTTACTTGCGTATTTTCTGGCTTTTTTTTTTGTAAAGTACTGGTAAAAGTCAAAATTTGTTTGGTAAAGCACCATTTAAGTTCAGAACATGTTGTATATAGTAAATTAATAATTTAGATAAAATAAAAATAAAAAATACAATAATTTTAACTATCTACCCTAGCTTTCTGCCAGGAGACAGCAAATATGTGTATACATTTTTTGGCTTTATTGTTCAAAAATGATGTTACAAAACATAACCAAATATTGATTAAATCCTTCATACTGCAGGTTATTTCTATACTTGCATGCCTGAAATTAAGATTATAATCTCATCAAACATTACTTTTCAAGTAGATAATAATATATTGTCAATTATATTATAATAATTGAATATTACAGTTTCAGTAATTCATATATTGTCTTATTGACAGCTCATTCAAATTAAAATATATAAAGTTATGAGGGTCCGGTAATTGTAGATTTGACCATGTTGACAGCAACAATAGCTTAAAAGATTTTGACATAAAAATTGAACAGTAATCTGAAACTGATGCTCAGAACCTTGAGGAATATCTAGAATTTCATTTTGTTTATAAAAACTGTATACTATACTTTTTGATAGCCCTTAGTAAAACATTTTCTTGGCTTATTTTCATTTTATGAACTATTTGAGTATTTCTTAATTCATTGACCCAGATTTAAATAGAAGGCTCAAAGGATTGAGATCTAAAAAAAATCTTTTAAGACTTCCAGATGTATGTATGCCTTTCTTCTCGTTATTGCTTTGTTTGATCCTGTTCCTAAGCACATATTGACATAATGATGTTATTTTTTTTTTAATTTACAGCTTCATAGTAAAACAGATCTAGGCTACACCTTCACTATTCAAGTCAGACTTTAAAAGGAAGCCTTTTTTGTTGATAGCTGAACATGTAAGTAAATACATTAATATCTTATTTGTATATTGTACAAATTAGACAAAGGAAGAATAATTAAGAAATAATTCGCCTTTTTCCAGAATCTAAAGGATTATGGGTAATCTAATTGTTCGTACACCAAAATGAAAATAACATTACCTCATTGGTTGAATTTCTATTGTTTAGAACTTTTTAAACCAATCACAACGTTTTGGTGTACGCTTTCGAAAATATTAACCAGAACAGAATGCATTTATTTAGATTCTGAAAGGGCGAATTAAACTGGTGATAATAGAAATATTAAAATGAGGAGATGAGGTATGCTATTGCCAATGAGACAACTATCCACCAAAGTTCAAAGAAAGTGGATGTAAGCAATAATGGGCAACCATAGAGCCTTTAACAATGAGAAAAATCCATAATGTATAGTCCGCTATATTTAAAGTTCAGTCTTTGGTTAAAGTTTTTTTTTATTTATTAATATATGAAACCTTCATCATGGATTATCATGTTGATGCAATTAAATGACATTTGAATAGTAGATTTTAATAATCGAGAGGGGTAGAAGATACCAATGGGATATATTCAAACTCAAAACAAAATAAAAAATGACTAAAAGACAAGCAACTGCATACACAATGTAGAAAACTAAAGACTGAGCACCACAACGGCACTGAAAATCTTGGTGATCTCAGATAATGCAGAAGGGTTAGCTAATCCTGCTCCACATGTGAAACCTATCGTGTTATTCCAAAAAAATATCTTTGCCAAGTTATACTAAGTCATTAGGCATCAGGCAACTAGCAGATTGGTTATTGACTCTTAATCTAACACTTAGATATCACCATATTCATCAAGCATCAGTAATGTAAATTTTCAACCATTAATCAATAAATCTTGACCTAATGTGAAGTTTTGAAATTTGCAAATTT